GGTGGCTTATTTGGAAGGGGGGCGAATGAGCCAGGAGGAGATGGAGTACCTGGTAAACTTATGGAAGGGCAAGCGACTGGTAAGCTCATCGAATGGACTTACCGTTTCTATATTAACATTAGAAAAATTCAGACCAACTGTGCATATGTTCGAAGGTATACCAGTGCATCCATTGTTATACAGCCAGGAAGATAGGTGGTATCACGACAGAGCGATGAATCGATCGGATGTGATTAAGAGTATTTCCCGGAAGACCTCCCCTTTGAGGAATGTTAAACATTTTTTGAGATACCAGGGCTGGGTTATTATCTTGTTTGTTGTGTGTATGGGTGCTGCTAGCGGCGGTACTTATTACTATACATCTAGAAGGATGAACCGGAACTTTGGATCTATCAATATCTAGGGGGTTTATATTAGTGTTTTACAGAGGGTCCTGTTGAGGTATCACTTTTTGTCTAATGGATCTTAGCTTATAACTATTGTTTATCCTTTGTGTGATATATCAGTGTAAACGACACCTATCAGGAGATATACTCTTAACGTATTAGAAGAGAATGTTCCACAATCTGATGTAGCTCAGAAGCTCACGGCAGTACTGAAACAGTATTTCCCTATGGATTAGCAGTGGAGATTATGATTTGCATCATAGGTACTTTCCTTGTGTGAGTCAGCGCTAGAATGAGTCATTCTCGTTCATACTTTGTACAATTATTCCTGATAATCTCTCATTAGCACGTTGTATACAACCATCCACTATACATATACCTGCGATCTTTAATCTCTAGCAAAACATTTACCACACTTTTGTCTGGATATCTTTATGGGCGATATATCGCACTTATAGTCTAGTGCACATTTAAACTGAAAGGACCCATGTATATAGCTGCAACAAAATCACTCAATTTCCATCCTGTTACTGAGACGAGTTTCTGGGTCCGGCTAGTGCATCCAGTACTAACTGAAAAAATAACCTTCCGTGCAGCTCTACAGGCATGGTACTTTCAGATTAAGCCTTTCCAAACAGGTAATCACCCCACCAGAACTAATAAAAGTATCGGCATCAATATACTTATATTATACGTTGGCAGGTTTATAGAATATTTTCCGTCTTTTGTCGCAGCCACTCACACTAAGCTTTATACATAATTCATGTACATGCATGTGCGTCGTAACTAGCCGTATGCCGTAATTCTCGATAAGGCTAGGGGGCGACATTAAGGTTTACTGCCGAAATGCCTATAAAACAAACGTAAATTCCCTAATTTTTAAGCGTCAATGACCTTTTCTCCTACAATGAATCCATTATCCATTGTAACGTTCACCTCTGTGTTGGCCTTGATGGCCAATGCATACACGTACGATGAGGAAGCCACGGCTGCTCAAATTGCCACCGGCTACGCAAACCTCATTATCAACTCAACGCTGTCTGACTACGTTGGACCGAAATACGACCCACAACCATATTTACTAAGCCTTGAAGAATTGTTTGAGTTGGAAGTTATCGCTGATTCCGTATACTACATAATTAACGGCAAGTACCAACGTTGGTTGGTGTTACCGGAAGGGCCGATCTTACGTTATAACCTGAAATTCCTTGAATGGGAGGCTCCTCGGCTTACCCATGGAAATTTTCGGCCCTTTACTGAGACTACTGAAGTGATTGAAACATACCCGGTGAACGCGGATAGAGATAAGCTCTTGGTGGCTTATTTGGAAGGGGGGCGAATGAGCCAGGAGGAGATGGAATACCTGGTAAGCCTATTGAAGCGCACTCGCTTTATAGGCTCATCGATGACACTTACCCGTATCGTATTGACATTAGAAAAATTCAGGTCAAATGTGTATAGACCCGAAGGTGGACCAGTTCCTCCATTGTTATACAGCCGGGAAGATATGAGGTACCATGACGGAATGGGGTGTCAAATGCGCATGACTAAGGGAATTTCCCGGAAGACCTCCCCCTTGAGGAGTGTTAGACACTTTTTGAGATACCAAGGCTGGGTGATTATCTTGTGTGTTGCGTGTATGGGTGCTGCTAGCGGTGGTACTTATTACTATACATCTAGAAGGATGAACCAGAACTTTGGATCTATCAATATCTAGGGGTTTTGTATTAGTGTTTTACAGAGGATCCTGTTGAGGTATCACTTTTTTATTTGATGGATCTTAGCTTATAACTATTATTTATCCTTTGTGTGATATATCAATGTAAACGATACCTATCAGGAGATATACTCTTAGCATATTAGAAGAGGATATTAGCGTATTAGAAGAGGATATTCCACAACCTGATGTAGCACAGAAGGAAGCACCCGGCTAAAATTCAATACATGGAACAGCCAAGAATGGAAATTTCATAAAAACTTGCAATAGCACTAGTCTACTACGGCACGATAAAATTTTGTAAACAAATCGCAGTGATAAAAGCCAACGCAAGTGTATAGCTATTGCATGAGAGTATATGTTCACCGAAAGACTCTCCCATGGGGTTAGTTAGCTCCCTTACAAAATCGATGCACGTGAAAATTTGTTCGTCCTCTGACTTTGTATGTACTGTTCCTCATTACTGGGCCATGTAGTCGTCATGATATCTCACTCCACACTATAGTTTGAAGTTATTCTATATTTTTTACGGACATCTGTTGTATATTGCCAAGTGGTTTGGGTGGCAACCGTATATGCGATAGCCGGTGTACATGAGAGGTACGATGTTCCATGGTTGGAGTACAAAGCACTATGCTACGTCGGATTATCTCACGGATTAAACATGTCTATTCTGGATTTTCCATTTATTGTTACCATCCGAGCGGTATTTTTTCTGGACAAAATATCTCGTATGAGTCCAGTTTAAAACGTCAAGACATGGCTTCTCCTAGTCTCAGCTATTAAGATCGAAACGATCAATATCTCACATGCTGCTAAGCCTAGACTTTAGAATGTCAGCCAACGGTCATGCTCAGTGTATTGATATGCAGGCTGTGTTATCCATGGCAGTACTGAGACAGTATCTCCCTATGGATCAGCAGTGGAGATTATGATTTGCGTCATAGGTACTTTCCTTGTATGAGTCAGCGCTAGAATGAGTCATTCTCGTTCATACTTTGTACAATTATCCCCGATAATCTCTCATTACCATGTTGTATGCAACCATCCACTATACATGTACCTGCGATCCTTAATCTCTTGTAAAGCATTTACCGCAGAAATGTCTATAAAACAAACGTAAATTCCCTAAATTTTAAGCCTGAATGACTTTTTCCGCTACAATGAATCCATTATCCA